GATTATAGTATTCAACAAAAAGTATTAAGTAGAACAAACAAAAAAAATTCTAAGAGGAATAACATATTAAGTTGCTCATCAACAGTCAGGGTGAGGGCTGATCAAGTCACCGTTTCTCATAGTGTTCATTTCACTTTAACAGGTTTCCTTTTCGGTGCTCAGTTAGTTGTCACCTATCAAGGAGAACAAGTGGTATTTGTCCCTTTGGGATTGGCTTATTTCACTCAACATAATGTTTTCCAAATTCCTAACAGGGATCACTTTTCAGTTAAAATTTAAACACCTAAGAATAATTGTGTGTTAATTACAGAGGTCAACCAATGGTACTAGAACAAAAAAAAAAAAATACTAAAATGGATAAAGTATTACATTGTACATCAACCATCAGGACAAGAGCTGATCAAGTCACTGTTTCTCACAGTGTCCATTTCACTTCAACAAGCTTCCCCTTTGGTGCTCAGTTAGTTGTCGCCAATCAGGGAGAACATATGATATTTGTCCCTTTGTGACTGGCTTAATTCACTCAGCATGATGTTTTCCAAATTCCTCCATCTTGTTGCAAATGACTGGGTTTCGTTGTTTTTTACTGCTGTATAGAAATGATCAGAGTCAGTGAACTCAGGGGGCTTCCATAGCCTTGGCAGCTCATGACAAAAGCCTAGGGTGATTACTGATGCCATAAACAAGAGTATCAATTTGTTAAGTCAACAACAGGAGTCACTGTGCACTTACTCCTCATGTAGGATCTTTGTCCTTAGTGTGCTGTACATTGAGATTTAATGCTATAACTAGTACTCAAACAGTATTTTTCACTTTATGTTTCTGTGTGGGAGCAAACTGTTGAAATCTTTACTTAATGTATGCTAAACTGATCTTCTGTATATAAAGAGAATCGAAAATGAATCTTGATATGAGTGGAAGGGGAGAGGGAGTGGATAAGGGGAGGGTTGCGGGTTGGAGGGACGTTATGGGGGGAAAGCCATTGTAATCAATATTCTGTACTTTGGAAATTTATATTCATTAAATAAAAGTTAAAATAAATAAATAAATAAACAAATAAATAAATACACAGATCTTGTAAAAAATGCTCATGGAAAATACATATTGTGAAAAAACTATGCATGGATATTTCAAAATTTTGCACTAAAATTAACTTTTTTGCCTTTTTTTTTAAGATTTATTTTTCTTTCATACTTGGGCCATCTTCCCAGGCCATGAACAGGGAGCTGGATCAGAAGTGGAACATCTGGGACTCAAACTGGCACCCAAATGGGATGCTGGAGTCACAGGCAGCAACTTTACCCATTACACCACAACACTGGCCCCTGCCTTTTTTATTTTACAATTTTTCAAATAATACAGAAAAGTATAAAGAAAAGTTCAATGAACACATGTAGATTTAACAATTTTAACATTTTTAATATTCACTGCATATATACACACACACACACACACATACATACTTACTACTTAGTAAAGCAGGGACGCTTTTTTTTTATAAGATATGTTTTTCTACATATGAGAGAAAACATGTGGCATTTATCTTTCTGTGTCTGCCTCTTTTCACTTAGCATATTGTTCTCCAGTTCCAACAGTCTGGTTGCAAATGTCAGGATTTCATTCTTTTGTATGTCTGAGTCATATTCCTCTGTGTGTGTGTGTGTGTGTGTGTGTGACATTTTCTTTATCCAGTCATTCACTGATGGACATCTTATTTGAAGGCATCATTCTAAACTATTGTACCTTAAGTTATGTAATGCATAATGTGTATTAAATTACCTTCATATAGTGTAGAACTAATGAAATGACTAGAATTTAAATACTACATCTACAACTTAAGAATTTTTGTAATGCCTGTCAAGCTCTTTATACAATGATGTTATACAATGATGTTAATTATTAACATATATATCATAATATATCATAATAGATAAATATAAAGATGTGGGAACAATTTCCGATTCAAATCTCACACATGGCTTTTTTGAAAACACTATTTGGTAGCAAATTTCTGAATTTTATATTCTTTTACAAATATTTCAGTAGTACATATTTTGTTACCTTAAAAATATTTTGCTCAGAATGACTTTATTAAATATGATTTTTCTGGAAGCTCTCCCATATAAAATACTGACTGAGAGTTTTTGTTACAGAATTTTGCCAGGGTTAAAATGCAGGTAACAATGTCACTATCCTCCCTGGTGGGCACATCTCAGAATTTTAATGAAGAATTCTTAAGACGTTCTCTAAAGACTATATTGACGTATGCTGAAGAAGATTTGGAATTGAGGGAAACAACATTTCCTGATCAGGTCAGAACTGCTGCTTTCTAGATCGTTAATTGAAATAGTCTTATTAAATAGGTGCTTTCCAGGTTGTTAAACATTGGATTTTGCTGGAGGATCTTTTTATTTCTCTTTCAGTCCACATAGCAAATGCCATAGATAGGAACGTTTATTATTTTTTTTATTAAGTTACCCTTCTTTTGTGAAATGGTATTTGATTCTGGGCATTTGTAACAAGTGGAAGAGTAGACGTAGGCATTATCAACCAAAGCTTTATGCTGAAAAGTTATTCCTCCTTTTTAATCAAACAGTAACTTGCCGTTTAAAAACTAGTTTCTACAAACTAGCTTATGGCAAAATCAGAAAACATAGAAGAGAATTTTCTTTTTGTGTCATATGAATAATATATATATAAGATTTATTGTACTTTACCTACCATACCTACACTATAATTATGTTGATATTATATAATTTGTTTTAGGATCTCCACATGCTTCTCTCTGAAATATCTCCTAAATTAATTTAGTGATTATAAATGAATGACAATTATAGAACATTTTTCATGATTTCTGCTGTAGGTCCAAGATCTGGTATTTAATCTCCATATGATCCTTTCGGATACTGTTAAAATGAAGGAACACCAAGAGGATCCTGAAATGTTGATTGATCTGATGTACAGGTAACATGTTTTATTTGCTCATACCTGTAAGTCACAGGGAAATGTTAGATGAAAAACTAAACATACAAAAGTTATCTAAGTGCTTTTCTAATGGTAGATTTAATAGTCAAAAGTGAACTTTTTTTTTTATTTGACAGGTAGAGTTATAGACAGTGTGAGAGAGAGACAGAGAGAGGTCTTCCTTCCGTTGGTTTACTCCCCAAATGGCCGCTATGGCCAGCGCTGCACCCATCTGAAGCCAGGAGCCAGGTGCTTCCTCTAGGTCTCCCAAGCGGGTGCAGGGGCCCAAGCACTTGGGCCATCCTCCACTGCCCTCCCGGGCCATAGCAGAGAGCTGGACTGGAAGAGGAGCAACCAGGACTAGAACCCGGCACCCATATGGGATGCCGGCGCTGCAGGTGAAGGACTAACCAAGTGAGCCATGGAGCCAGCCCCAAAAGTGAACCATTTCCTTTCCAGGCTGCTTTTTCAGATCCTTTGTGTCACTTCTTTTTTTTTTTTTTTTTTTTGACAGGCAGAGTTAGACAGAGAAAGAGACAGAGAGAAAGGTCTTCCTTCTGTTGGTTCATCCCCCACAAATGGCTGCTATGGCCGGCGTGCTGCGCAGATCCGAAGCCAGGAGCCAGATGCTTCCTCCTGGTCTCTCATGGGGTGCAGGGCCCAAGCACTTGGGCCATCCTCCACTGCCCTCCCGGGCCATAGCAGAGAGCTGGACTGGAAGAGGAGCAACCGGGATAGAATCTGGTGCCCCAACTGGGACTAGAACCCTGGGGTGCCGGCACCACAGGTGGAGGATTTGCCAAGGAGCTGCGGCGCCAGCTTGTGTCACTTCTTTTTAAGAATTTATTAATAATATACTGTTCAGTATATTTATTATCAAAAATGAGGATATTTCAAAGCAATTATAAAACTTCTTTAACACCTCGATATCCTGAGGCCCAAGACTGCTTTTCTATGTAAAATCGGTCTTTCAATTTCATCTTCCTGCTCATGCACCGCCTAGCAGCAAGTGATAGCTAAAGTGGTTGAGTCCCTGCTGCTCTCATGGGAGACCTGTGTTAAGTCGTAGTCCCCCAGCTTTGGCCTAATCCAGCCCTGGCTAGTGAAGGCATTTGGAGAGTCCACCAGCAAATGAAAGACATCTTTCTGTCTCTACCTTTCAAGTAATGTAAAATTAAATTTTAAACCGTTTAAAAAATCAGTCTTTTAAGAAGAAAATATTACATGGATATTTTACCATAATATTAATTATACTGATTTTAAATATACTTATGCTTAAAAGATAAAATTTCTAGGGGCACATTTGAGAAATATCTAATTCCTGTTGTATCTCAAAATATACAGTAGTAAAACTTAAGAATTATTCTTTGCTGCCTGTTTTGTTTTTTTGTTTTTTGTTTTTTGCTGGCACAAACTTTCTATTTATTTATATTATTAAAAGTGCAATAGTAGGAATGAAATCTATGTTAATGGAAAAGGAACTCAGGAATGAGGTCATTAAATATAACTAAGTACATTTTAAATATAAATACCACATGGCCGGCACCGCAGCTCACTAGGCTAATCCTCCGCCTTGCGGCGCCGGCACACCGGGTTCTAGTCCCGGTTGGGGCACCGGATTCTGTCCCGGTTGCCCCTCTTTCAGGCCAGCTCTCTGCTGTGGCCAGGGAGTGCAGTGGAGGATGGCCCAGGTGCTTGGGCCCTGCACCCCATGGGAGACCAGGATAAGCACCTGGCTCCTGCCATCGGATCAGCGCGGTGCGCTGGCCGCTGCGCGCCAGCCGCGGCGGCCATTGGAGGGTGAACCAACGGCAAAAGGAAGACCTGTTTCTCTGTCTCTCTCTCGCACTGTCCACTCTGCCTGTCAAAAAAAAAATATATATATATATAAATACCACATATCCCCTGATTGGTACCAGGGAAATACCGAAACCAGCCTGAGTTCTGGTCTCAGAGAACAAGTCAGAGACAATCTTGAAGAAAGTGCTTCATATCATCACGTCCATTTTTGAAACAACTGAGATCCCCGGGGAAAGTCATTTCAGTTTTTTCTTTTTATCAGGGATTTCTGTTGGTCCTTTTGTTGGTAATCCATTTGTATCTGTGCCCTTACAATCCACTCTCCCTTTATCATTGGATTCTTGCACAGCTTTTCTGGGCCATATGTGGCTAACAAAAGGAGAAATCAGAGGGTATATGTATGGCTCCAAGAATTTTGTGTAGATCCAGAGCAGAATCGGAATAATAATACAAGGAATGTACACCATTGTCCCAGGCTTGAGCTCTTCAACTGTGAGGGCACAGGCAGGCCGCAGGCCGGGCTGCTGGGTTCCAGAGAGGGCTCTGCAGGCTGCATTGCAGCCAGTCAAGCCTCCGAAAGAGCTGCGGGATGGCCGCAACAGAACCCAGTCTTGGCCCCAGCTTCCGGCACCTGCCCGGGTGCCCCCAGCCCAGCTCACCCCTCTTTTTTTTTTGTTTTAAGATTTATTTATTTATTTGAAAGTCAGAATTACACAGAGAAAGAAGGAGAGGCAGAGAGGCAGAGAGAGAGAGAGAGAGAGGGGGTCTTCCGTCCGCTGGTTCACTCCCCAATTGGCTGCAACAGCCAGAGCTGCACCAGGCTGAAACCAGGAGCCAGGATCTTCTTCTAGGTCTCCCACATGGGTGCAGGGGCCCAAAGACTTGAGCCATCTTCTACTGCTTTCCCAGGCCATAGCAGAGCGCTGGATTGGAAGTGGAGCAGCCAGGTCTCGAACTGGCGCCCTTATGAGATGCCGGCACTGCAGGCGACGGCTTTACCCTCTATGCCACAGCATAGCCAGCCTCTGCTACGTGTTCTTTACACAATTTTGCAGTTGGTTAAAGGCAAAAATAAAATAATTTTATCCTCTTTAAAACAAAGGTGATGTGATGAAACTACCTTTTATGAATCCATTTTTCGGAGCCAGTGTTATGGCATAATGGATTAAGCCTCTACCAGCAAAGCCAGCATCCCATATAGGCACCCATTCAAGTCCCCGCTGCTCCATTTCCAATCCAGCTCCCTGCTAACATGCTTGGAAAAGTAGCAGAAGATGGCCCAAATCCTTGGGCCCTTGCACCAACCCCGGAGACCTAGAAGAAGCTTCTGGCTCCTGTCTTTGGCCTGGCCCAGCCCTTGCCATTGTGGCTATTTGAGGAGTGAACCAGAGCATAGAAGATATCTCTCTGTCTCTGTAACTCTTTCAAATAAATAAATCTTTTAAAAAATAATAAATAAATGTGTTTTTCGTTGATTTATAAACCTTTATATTTGTGTAACAAACACATACTTTTCTGGATTGTTTCCTTAGTGACCATATTTTAATATGGCATAAATCTTTTTGTTCCCTTTAAGATTATATTATCTGCTGGCGCCGCGGCTCACTAGGCTAATCCTCCGCCTTGCGGCGCCGGCACACCGGGTTCTAGTCCCGGTTGGGGCACCGGATTCTGTCCCGGTTGCCCCTCTTCCAGGCCAGCTCTCTCCTGTGGCCAGGGAGTGCAGTGGAGGATGGCCCAGGTGCTTGGGCCCTGCACCCCATGGGAGACCAGGAAAAGCACCTGGCTCCTGGCTCCTGCCATCGGATCAGCGCGGTGCACCGGCCGCAGCGCGCCGGCCGCGGCGGCCATTGGAGGGTGAACCAGTGGCAAAGGAAGACCTTTCTCTCTGTCTCTCTCTCTCACTGTCCACTCTGCCTGTCAAAAAAATAAAAAATAAAAAAAATAAAGATTATATTATCTATTCCATGGGCTAGTTATTTCTCTAAGCATATACAACATTTTCATTCCACTTAAAAACTGTCTGTTGTTGTTACTATGTTTTAAAGTTTTTTTCTTAAGATGTATTTATTTGAAAGGCAGAATTACAGAGAAAGGACAAATAGATCTTCCATCCACTGGTTCACTCCCCAGAAGGCCGCAATGGCCAGGGATGGGCCAGGCCAAAGACAGGAAAAAGGAGCTTCATCCTAATCTCCCACATGGGTGCAGGAGTCCAAGGACTTGAGCCATCTTCTGCTGCTTCCCCAGGCACATTAACTGGATGGGATGTGGAGCAGCCAGGACTCGAACCAGCACCCATATGGGATGCTGGCATTGCAGGCAGCAGCTTAACCCTCTTCACCTCAATGCCAGCCCCTTAAACGTTTATTTTTATTTGTTTGAAAGGCAGAGTTACAGGGGGAAGGGGGCGAGAGAGAAGGAGGGAGGGAGAGATCTTCTGCTGCTCTCCCAGGCACATTAGCAGGGAGCTGAATTGGAAGTGGAACAGTCGGGTCTTGTACTGGTGCCCATATGGGATGCCACACTGCTGGCCCCTTAAAAACTGTCTTAATAGGTTGTATGCGGTACCAGACAGATTAAACTCCAAACAAGCTGTCTGAACTCCCCTCTCGGCTTAAGAAGCATATGCTAATTAAGAAGAATTTCTGTTCTGATTAGAATTGCCAAGGGTTACCAGACCTCTCCAGATTTGCGATTAACCTGGTTGCAGAACATGGCTGGCAAACACTCAGAGCGCAGCAATCACGCTGAAGCTGCACAGTGCCTCGTCCACTCAGCAGCACTCGTGGCTGAGTATCTGAGCATGCTGGAGGACCGGAAATACCTCCCTGTGGGATGCGTAACATTTCAGGTAGGCGTCTGCCAGATACACATTCAGTCAAGGTGTGACCTTTTTTGGTTTCGACTCTCTCACTAATGTTTAGATTATTTATCTGTAAGGAAAGCACAAACACTTAAGGTGATGCTTCACAAGGTAAATTACTATTTCACCTTTGTTGTCATTAATGCATTTTAAGTTCTCATAAATCCATTTTTAATTCTCTTTCCACAGTTTCTTACTTCTGATTTATCGGTACTGTGTATATTTATTATCTTTGCCTTTACTGCTTTGCAATCAGTCACAGATTTTAGCACCTTTGAAACTGTTATACTCAAAATATGAAAAATCAGAATTCAGTAGAAACTTTTAATTGGCACTTATTTGATACACTAGAAAACCCACGTTCTGTTTTCCTTGTAGAAAATATACTAATACCATGACTCTCAGGTGATATTTTATCTATCAGGAGTATATAACTCTGACCCACTAGTCGAATTATTTTGCTTACCAAGAGTCAGTTTTGCTTTGCTTTTCTTCAAAATCTGCAATGCCAGGTCTGGTATATTATAAAATTTAACAAAATATTGCCTTTTGATGATATCAGAATGCAGATAGAAAGTGACTGTTTCTATGAAAACTAAGTTGAATGTTTGGCAATTAACCAGTAAAGGTGAGTCTCCAAAGCAACTGCTCTTGAATTAACTTTGGACCAGACAAGTATAAAAGTTTAAGGGAAGAACTCCAGAAATCTATCATAATTTGATATTCTTTAAGTTCAAGTCTTCATTCTACTTTAAAGAAACAAAACTGGAAAGAAGGTTGTTTTATGGTTATTTAGTCAAAAGAAATTATATAGAACTATGATCTAGAGACCCATGCACAAAGAAAAGGCCTAAGACCTTTTTTAAAAGTTGCTAAGTGAGTGTACATCTACTGTAAATATTTAGGTTAAAATAAAATACTAAAGACATATGCTATTTCTTTTTTAGAAATAATGATAGATCTCATTCTACTAAGAAAGAAGTCATGTAGTATACCTGAGATTTTTGGGGTTTTTGTTTTTAGCATTTTTTATGTATTTATTTATTTGAAAGGCAGGAAGGGTTATAGACAGAGAGGGAGTGAGACAGAAATCTTCCATCCACTAGTGCACTCCCCAAATGGCTGCAACGGACAGGACTGGGCCAGGCCAAAGCCATGAGTCTGGAACTCCATCCAGGATTCCCACATGGTCAGCCAGGGCCCAAGCACTTGGACCATCATTTTCTGCTGCTTTCCCAGGCACATTAACAGAGAGTTGGATTGGAAGCGGAGCAGCAGGACTTGAACCAGTGCCCAGATAGGATATTGGCATTGCAGGCAGCAGCTCAAGCTTTTGTACCTCAACACTGGGCCCTACCTGAAGTTTTATTATACTCGATGTGGAACTACCAAACCAAGAAGCCATTTTTGTACCTTAATTTCCCTTATAAACAGTTTTAAGAAGTTAAAAAGAAAGACTATTTAAATAGTCTCCTTGTATCCTATCATTTTTTTAGCCCATGATTTTTCTTAATTTTATTTCTTACAACTTTTTCTTAAATACTTATTTATTTATTTGAAAGAGCATCAGAGAAATAGACAGTGAGAGAGAAGGACCTTTTCCACGCCATAGTTGCCTCCCCAAATGGCTACAACAGTCAGGATTCAGGCAGACCAAAGCCAGGAGCCAGGAACTCCAATCTGGGTCTCCCACATGGGTGTCAGGGACCCAAGCACTTGGGCCATCTTCCGTTCTTTTCTCAGGCATATTAGCAAGAAGCTGGATCAGAAGTGGAGCAGCTCGAATTGACTGGCGAATATGAGATGCCAGCATCACAAACAGCAGCTTAACCTGCTGTGCCACAACACCAGCCCCATCGCATTATTATTTTTTTTTTTTAAGGAAAAAGTTATTCAGCAATGGTGTTGTCATTTACTTGTCATCTTCAAATTATAGAAAGCTTGTGAAAATTTGCCTTTTACCTTTATTTCAACTTTCCTTTTTTTTCTAACTTAAGCTAATAGTTATATTTACTTCTTCACGCATGTTTTTTCATACTGAGAAATTAATTCCATTTCACAAACCTTTTCAATATTTTTTCTCCTAGAATATTTCATCTAATGTTTTAGAAGAATCTGCAGTCTCAGATGATGTAGTATCTCCAGATGAAGAAGGTATCTGCTCTGGAAAGTACTTTACTGAGTCAGGACTTGTGGGATTATTGGAACAAGCAGCCGCTTCTTTCTCTATGGTAGATCACTCTTATTCATTCTCTTTCTATAGTTTCATGCCTCTGAATTATCAGTGACATCAGTAGATGTTTTTTTGTTTGTTTGTTTGTTTGTTTTGTTTTTTTGCCATATGACCCTGCTTGTCCTTTAAAATAGTTTTCTCCAAGTACCTTTAGAACTATATGGAAACAAACTTTTTTTCTGGATTCATCATTGCTTACTGTCACTGTCCCATGTTTTCACTTACTTGTTTATGAACCAGCACTTGATCTATGCAGATATGTTTTTTTTGTTTTTTGCTTTTTTTTGTTGTTGTTGTTCACAAAACTTTTGCCACCCACCACGTTCTAAAACTTTTATATTAAAAAATGAAATGAAACAGAACATCTC